CTCCGAAACGGCTTGACCTGTCTTTGCCAAAAACTAATCAGCTCTTTTCCCTATCAATAGGAATCGAATGTTTTTTGAACCATTCAAATCGGTTGATCCGTACGCCCGAAAACGTGGGCGAAAATTTGTATCCATACATACATACACACACACACACACACATCCATTTTTTCTGAAGTATGCCAAAATGTTCAGAAACCTTCAAAACGTCGAGAAATGTAAAAATTTTCAATTCCGATTTTCGGCCCATTACAACAACTTACCATACGGGAAGTTAAAAATAAATATTATTTATTCGTTTAAATATTATACAGTGACGATTTTATTGCTCAAAACACTTAAAAATGTTTACATTAAGAAGAGATTTCAAATGAATCCATCTGAGGATATATTTCTAAGAAAAACGCATAACGCATATAAAATATATACATTTTTAAGCTAAATTGTAAATTCAGATTTTATATTTGAAGAATAAAACTTTGTATATTTTTGAAAATTTTGAAAAAAAAATTCTGAATATTTTGAAATTTATTTGGACCGTATTTAAAAGTTAATAATTTTGGTACGGAACCCAAAATAATGTAACAAATTTAGTACTCCTATTTAAAATCTCTACTAAATATCTGATAATTTGATGAGCATATGTTTAATGATCATTTTAGACCGCCAAATATCATTTTTTTTACATTTTCTTCTGTATCTCAGAAACCGCTACACCTGCCTTGGCAATAACTTAATAAATTCTTTATTTCGTCAATACAAGTAAAATGTTTTTTGTATCATTCAAATCGGGCACTCTGTTACCTCGAAAACTGAATTACCAATTTTGGCACTCTATGCCCGTACCATTAAAACGACTGGACCTGCCTTGGACAAAAACTATTCAGCACGTCCCCCATCAGGAATGAAATGCCTTGTTGAATCATCCGAATCGGTTGATCCGCGTTCTCGATATTGCCGATGAAAAATTGAAATGTAAAATGGCAACAAATTATAGAACAAAATGGTGCATATTTGACCTAAATCGGACAATGCAAAACATGTTAAATAAAGTCTTGAAGTTCACGTAAAAATAATGGATTTTTTCCCCAACCCAATATATATATATATATATATATATATATATATATATATGTATATATCTGATTACTATAACTTACCCTACGGGAAGTTAAAAATAAAATCCTATATAATATTAAATCCGATCAAATATCCAACCATATAAATTATGAAAAATTGTGCGCCCGCCGTTTGAAATTTGACGTTATTTATTATTATTATTATTAGAATAACAATGAACGACGAGTGAAATGAATTAATGTTATTTACAACCGTGGCATTCTAACACATTTGTAAACTATAAAGATTAGGTCATATCACGTTCATTTCGTCTTTCGATCTTTCCATCTCTCCATCTGTCCGTCACGCCGGCAAACACTTTCATACTAATTAATCTTTTCCACTTTGTTAAGTAGCCGAATTTGCATAATTCTCGAATTAGTCAAAATCTCGTGAACTTCATATATCAGTCAAAAAGCAACAATGGACGAGAGGCCCCTAATTACTGCACATGCACAACGGTACAATTTATATTTAGAGAAACGGGCCGGACGGCCGACGCTCATTAAAAACACATATTTCAATTTCATAAATACATCGTGATTATTTTCTTTTTCTACAGAGACAAAGTTTTTTATAAAAAAAAAAAAACAGAACAATTGCAAACGCAAATATTAGTTATTTAATTATTATAGTTATTTATTCATGAAATCTCAAACTAGAGGTTTCAACGCTAACGACATTTTAGATACGTTACCTTTGGATAATCGCCAAAAGAGAATAATAATTGACATAATTAATTAACACAAAAGTCGACAAAAAAGTTGTCTGTATTGGGGTGAAACATATTTTCTAAAGTACTTTTTTATTAAAAGGAATGAATATGTTTGCAGAAAACCTAGAACAATGGATAAATATGTTTACAGGGCGCTGTTGGATGCTACAAAAAGTATTTCAACAGAGATGAAAAAACTGCACAAATCCGTTGCGATTCAAGAAAAAAACATTTATATTAAATCATATTGAAGAAGAATAGGATTTTAATGAAAATTACCTGATCAGTTTTGATTTTTTCCCTTTTTGCATTTTGGCACTTCAATTTGACCTCACATAGGTCAAAATTGATAAAAAATACATTAGAAAACATATACCGTACCCCTAATACAGACAACTTTTTTTGTCACCTGTGTAATTTGCACGTAAAATAAGAGTCTAATAACAACCAGAAAGACAAAATCTACATTTCAAAGTATTGAGTGTTTGCATTTAGATGTACAGGTGTTAATAGCTTGACAAAATTATAATAAATTGGAATTTTAAAAATTAGAAGATAAGTATTCAATTAACATGTAACATGTCATGTAGGAGAAAGAGCTTAGGATAGTTGTCTATATTAATTCACTAACCTTTGTATAAAGAAACATGGCTAAAATGGAAAATATCGGTCAGCAGATTTACTCGTGGAGGTTACGAATGCAAAGAAATCTCTTCTAAGATTAATTCCTGTGAAAAACAAATGCATAATTAGAATAAATTTTATGACGATAAGAGGATCGATTTAAAATGAAACATAAATAGTTCAATATTAATAATAACGCATAGTTGAAATGAAAATTACCCTTTTTAAAAGTTAATAGTTTAAAGTTTAGACCCAAGAATAGTTCCATACCGAATCTTAAACAATTGCTATACTGTATCGTCTGCACAGTGAACAGAATTAGGAATATTAATGCACAAAGTAAAAACAAAATCAAATATTATGTAAATTATATGTTCGTACATGAAATAGACATTTTAATATAATTTTACACCACAGTGATATTCCACTCTCAAATGTGTAGTAAATGAATATTTTATGAATAATAAACCACGACACAAGAAATTGAAAAATAACGACATATCAATTAATAATAGCAAATATTGTAACAGGTCAGCATTGCTACAAAATAATATATTCACGGGAAATAAATTAAAACTTTTTTTTCTTTAGAATTGAACTAATGGATTTTAAATTTTTTGCACATTTGATGATACATTTATTTTATGAGGACTTGCATTCTTGCAATGAAAAATATAGTAAAACTAAAATATGACTGATTGAATGAAAACTTACATTGACTTAATGAATTGTTCTCAAATATCTTTTTAGTCAATGATTTAAACAGAAAAAAGGACCAAAAATGATTCCAATAGATTAAATAACACTCGACAACTATTTTCAAAGTATTCTATTCCTATTTAAAATTTCTACTTTTATCATAAATTTTAATTACTTTTGTCCAAAAATATATAAAAGTAATCTGTGTTGGGTGTATGACATATGTTTTCGAATGTATTTTTTACCGTTTAACCAAAAATATTTAACACAAAGTCAAAATTGGGGGTTAAACTACAAAAAACGGAGAAAAAAAAAGAAAAAATCTCGGGTCTAGAATTTTTCTGCGTGTTAATTAAAATCTTATAATTTCTGTTGTTTCTGGCCTTTTTCTCTTAACCCCTTGGACTGCGGGCGTCGACAACGTGTCGACGGATAGAATGAGGATCCAAAGAACACTTTTTACCAATGCGACTGCCATTGAATTACTGTTTAAATAAAACTATTTTTTTTAATAATACAGTGTGAACAGAGCTATTTTTTTAAACAAAATGTTTCAGCATATAAAAACGAAATAGGTCCAAAGACCTTCGCAGTCAACGTGTTAAATGACCTGTGCAACAAATTTCTGCAACGCTTTTTTCATCTCTAAGTATCTTTTTGTAGTTTTCAGCAATAATTTGCAAACATATTTCTAATATTATTTCTATTAGATAAATGCAAACATGTTTGCAAATTATCTAGGGGCAATGGGGAGTAAATAATATGTTAGCAAATCACTGCTAAAATTACGAAATAAAAATAACTTAAAATAATAAAAACAGCAAAATAATTAAAACATCCAAAATATTAAACTTGTTTATAAAGCAATTCATTTTCAAATTACCAGACATTCAAAAACCACCGCGTAACTATCGTGAACCCTTTTATGAATATCTCCCACTATTTCCGACCTGTCCAATCACAATGCGCGAAATTTGGGACCGTGAACTGAAATTCGTCGGCAAGGCGTTCATCAAATTTGCGGTAAGTTTATTAGACTATTTATATGAGCTGATGAAAATTATTAATTCACGTTAATACACTTAAACCAGTGGATTATTTTAATGCAATTGCAATATTTGCATGACGATGTACGCAGAAGAATACATGAATACATGGATACGTTTAATCGCAAAAGATATGGATACGTCCGTTTATTCAGAAACCCAATGGCGGGCGAAACCTTTTAATAGAGACACCAAGTTACGATAAAAATATAGTGCACCATGGAAAATCATTTATGCTATTAATACAGGTACGTGTAAAATATATTAATGATATTTTTTCATTAAATATGGCTCGGGAAAGAAAAATTGTGCAACCTCATTGTTCAGTTTTACTATAACATGAGGACCTATAATACTTATATTATACAATAGTTAAAATTGTATTCATATTTTGGCTGACAAAAGGTGATATAAACGGAAATCATAATCAGTATTCTGCACAAAGTCAACCTATTAGAAGCTAACCAACGTTCCATGTAACGGCATTCTTTTATTCAAGGCTTTAAACTTTTAGAATTGTTTTTTGCTTGCCTATAACAAGAGAATAGTAAATACACTATATAAATACTCAATAATACTTTAAAACTATTAAAATTTCTGAAAGCCTTCCACTCAGTACATCTACATAACCCTTCCACATCTTCCGTTGAATTGAAAAATACATATTTTGTGGCACTGCTTTATTTTACAATAATGGAATCATCATATAAGGAATATATCAAATATCATTAAGTATATCAAATGCATGTAAATAAAGAGGTTATTCATATTACCTATTACAAAGGTAATGTAAAATATATACATATAGAGTTATAAAATTCGAGTAGTCTTTTTATTCATTCTTAAAGTTAGGTGCTCGTTTCTCTACGAAAGCAGTCATACCTTCCAATCTGTCTTTCTGCAAAACCAAAGCATTTGCATTAATTATATAAATATTATATTATATAAATATTAATTTTTACATATATTATAGAACATAATAAGAGTGCCATATGCTCGATGTCATCAGCAATAACTTAAAGACCGAAGGGGCCAGGACAAAGAAGAATGCTGATGTTGGTTAACAAGCGGAAAAGAAAAATGCAAAAAATAGAAAGCTGAGAAACTGGTAATGAAAATGCGAAAGGAGAATTTTGTGAAGTAAAATGGGAAATGCGAACAAAGGAAGAAAGAGGAATTGTATTAAATATTCCCTGCTCTCATAGTGCAGGTCAGCATTAGAGTATAATACCAATAATAACAATCTTTAAATAAATGTAAATATATGTGAAGAACACATTCGATGCATTATTTTTATCAAAGAAAAATACACTATGCTTAAATACTGCAATGATTGCAATGAGATGAGAGTTAATATATATATATATATATATATATATATATATATATATATATATGTGTGTGTGTGTGTGAGTGTGTGTGTGTGTGTGAGTGTGTGTGTGTGCGTGTGTGTTATATAGTTACAAAATAAGATATAACAGTAAATAACAGCATTGATAATATTGCTATTATAATCTTCTTGTTGTAAGAAATACCAAAAAATATAAATTTATTGAAATGCCTGCATAAAACTTATCTTCTATTTTTTCATTATATTTTAGTATAGATTTATATAAATTATCTTTAACAGTTTTTTTTACTTACAGTGGCAAATGTAGCATGGAATGCTCTCTTCTCAAAGTGTAACCCTTCTTGCAAAGAAGTTTCCAAAGCAGTGTTAACAGCTTCTTTGCACAATGAGACAATAAGTGGAGAATGTGATGAAATTTTGTCTGCTAATTTTACAGTTTCGTCGACCAATTTATCAGCAGGGAATACCTTGCTTACCAAGCCTGAAAATAAATTGTAAGTAATTGCATATTTGATTAAACAAAGACTAATTTGATGTACACATAAAAGCAACAATTGTTCATCTAATGACATCAATTTTTATCATTATAATTAATACCAATAGTAAAATATTCTTATGTCTGAGTTTGATAACTAACCCATTTTTTCGGCCTCTTCAGCTGTGACCATGTTGCCAGTAAGACATATTTCCATAGCCTTAGATTTGCCAACAGATCTGTAATAAATATGTATAATTTATTATCTATATTACGATCAAATAACAAACAAAATTTTATTTAATGTAGGAATTATAATCACAAGACAATTTAATTATCAAAAGTAGTCTCTATATATATATAATTATATATATATAGGTATATTATTAAAAAAAATTCTCTATACCTGGTCAAACGTTGGGTGCCACCAGCTCCAGGGATTGTTCCAATTGCAATTTCAGGCTGACCAAAACGAGCCTTATCTCCAGCATAAATAATATCACACATCATGGCCAATTCACAGCCACCACCCAACTATAACATAAGAATATCATTTACACTTAAATTCATAAGCAATTGAAATTTTGAGAAAAAGAAGCTTAAAATTTGTAAATTTTAGATTGTTGCAATAGAATTATAATTGAAGTTTGAAACATGTAAGTATTTTATTTATTTACAGCAAATCCGTTGACAGCAGCAATCACAGGCTTTCGGAATTGAGCAATTCTGGACCAATGACATAAGAAATTATCTCGAAGAGTTTCCGAATAAGTTTTGTTTTGCATTTCCTTGATATCAGCACCAGCTGCAAAAGCTTTTTCACTTCCTGAAAAATATGAAACAATTATACATTACAAAAATTGCAGCTATTATATTGATATAATGGTAACGGTAATCAAGTGGATTGAAAAAATGATTATAATCTGCTGAAGTCTTTGGCATATATATATATGGTAAGACATTTTATTATGTCATTTTATTATCTGTATCTACACTTTTATATGATTACGTTTCGAGTTTTGTGATTTTTAATCATGAACAAAATATTTATTTATGAAATATTTTCAAATAATATGTAACATACATACTCTATCTACATGAAAGTAATAATCAAATTTATTTCAGTGTGAGAAATTATTATGGTCTGCTAGAGTCTTTCGCATATATGGTAAGACATTTTATCATGCCATGTTATTATCCATATCTACACATTTATATGATTTGTTTGGAGTCTTGTGATTTTTAATCATGAACGAAATATTTATTTATGAAATATTTTCAAATAATATGTAACTAACATACTCCATCTACATGAAAGTAATAATCAAATTTATTTCAGTGTGAAAAATTATTAGAATCTGCTAGAGTCTTTTGCATATATGGTAAGACATTTTATTATGCCATTTTATTATCTGTAAATACACTTTTATATGATTATGTTTCGAGTTTTGTGATTTTTAATCATGAGCAAAATATTGATTTATGAAGTATTTTCAAATAATATATAACATACATACTCAATCTACGTGAAAGTAATAATCAAATTTATTTCAGTGTGAAAAATTATTATCTGCTAAAGTCTTTCGCATATATGGTAAGAGATTTTATTATGCCATTTTATTATCCATATCTACACATTTATATGATTTGTTTAGAGTCTTGTGATTTTCAATCATGAACAAAATATTTATTTATGAAGTATTTTCAAATAATATGTAACATACGAGTACATACTCAATCTGCATGAAAGTAATAATTAAATTTATTCCAGTATGAAAAGTTATTATAATCTGCTAGAGTCTTTGGCATATATGGTAAGATATTTTATCATGCCATATTATTATCCAAATCTACACATTTATGGTAAGACATTTTATCATGACATGTTATTATCCATATCTACACATTTATATGATTTGTTTGGAGTCTTGTGATTTTCAATCATGAACGAAATATTTATTTATGAAGTATTTTCAAATAATATGTAACATACATACTCAATCTACATGAAAGTAATAATCAAATTTATTCCAGTGTGAAAAATTATTATAATCTGCTGAGTATTTGGCATTTATGGTAAGACATTTTATCATGCCATGTTATTATCCTTATCTACACATTTATATGATTTGTTTAGAGTCTTGTGATTTTCAATCATGAACGAAATATTTATTTATGAAGTATTTTCAAATAATATGTAACATACATACTCAATCTGCATGAATGTAATAGTCAAATTTATTTCAGTGTGGAAAATTATTATAATCTGCTAGAGTCTTTGGCATATATGGTAAGATATTTTATCATGCCATATTATTATACCACTTTTATATGATTTGTTTAGAGTCTTGTGATTTTTAATCATGAACGAAATATTTATTTATGAAGTATTTTCAAATAATATGTAACATACATTCTCAATCCACATGAAAGTAATAATCGAATTTATTCCAGTGATAACAATCAGGCATCGAACATGAAGAAACAAACAAGTAACAGATTATTAATCTAACAGAATAAAAGCATGCTTATTATGATCCATAAGGATATTAGCATTAAATACATAAGTAAGTGATTATAGTGCATTTTTTATTTTACTTTGTGATTCTATCCACATATCATCTTTTAAATAATAATATTGAGGTACAGCCTGTTCATTTTTAATATTGAATATAACTTCCATTCATAAATTGCAATTCATATATCAATGTCTGATCTTTACAGCAAAATAATGATCTAATTGATTTCAATACAAACCATTAAAAAATAGAACATAAAGAATCATGTAATTCAACAGAAATATAATTACATCAAAGAGCATTATATTTATAAGTTAATTAAATAAAGCATAAAAATGATTTATTATAGTAACATGAATAGAGGTTTATATTGTTTTTACCTGTGATGACAACAGCTCCAACGTTAGCATCAGATTCATGTTTATCCAAAACATCATTAATTTCACACACCAATTTATCACAAAGAGCATTCAATGCCTTTGGTCTATTTAAGGTAATTAAAAGAACATTGTTTTTGGCTCCTACTTTTTCAGTCTTGATGAATTCATATGTTGCTGGTGCTGTGAACATTCCAATTCATTTTTTATCGAAATAATCATTAGATAATAAGGGCGAACAAATTATCTAGGATAATATTAATTTAATTAATACAATTACTGTCATATCTTAACATGTAATAGTACAAATATGCATGTGAAATCATCAGATAAGCCAAGAGAATTTTATGTAGATAATTATTTCAAACAAAAAAGTAACTGTGGCTTAGGAATGCTTTCATTAAAAAAACTGTTTGTTTTTAATTCCAATTCATTTTTTATCGAAATAATCATTAAATTAGTTTTAACATTATATTAAGTAAAAGGGAACAAGTTATCTAGGATAATATTAATTTGATTTTAACTCTAATAAATAGACATGTAATAATGCAAATATGCATATGTGAACATTTGCTAAGTCAAGAGTATTTTATGTAGAAAATTATTTCAAACAAAAAACTAATAATGGTGACTTAGGAATGGATAAATTAAAAACTATTTGTTTTTAATTTTAAAAGTCTTAATGTGTAATGTGTTAATGTTGATTGTTACAAAACCTATAGGTAAATTAATTATTAATGAATAAATATTAATTAATAATGAAGTAATTCTTCTGAAGCAATATATAAAATAACAAGTTAAATGTTTATAGAAGATTATATAAATGTTAGATTATATAAATGTAAAAATTATATTAATGTTATTGAATTTTTACATATAGCTCGACATCAAAATGAAATAACCTTAACACATTAGTTATTAATATATTAATCCAAAGTGTTAATTATAATGTTAATAATAGAAATGACTAATGATTTAAAAATTTGAAAAATTCATAGAAATATTTTTCATGTAAAGTATTTTAATAATGGATCAAGATTTATATTTTACAAATACTTTACATTTTTGTCAAAGGATTGCTGTTTATTTTCATTTTAATTTAAAATTGAATTGATTTATCTCATAAGAAACAAACCATAAATTTGGAATTCTTAATTACAAAACTTTAGGTTGGATTCTGGACCAACATAAAATATGAAAGAAAATGCAATTAAAGAAAGTATTGTGTTAGAATTAAGAAATAAAATTATTTAATTAATGCGTTATATGGTAGATTATCTTTGGTTAAATTAAAAATCAAAATCTTAATGTTAAATCAATTACGAGACCCTATACGAGTAGTACAGCAGAGGTCATTGCGGACAAGGTCAGTAGCATTTAGCAACTTGTTAAATGTTAGTCTTGTGTTAAAATCACATGCCTTAATTAGTTAATTGTTAATTAAAATAAAACAAACAGTATTAATCTAGATGTTAATGCCGATAAAGTCACTGCACCCACGTCAACAGCGTACATGCAATGATTATTTAAAAAAATAAACAAAAACAATTATGCATATTGAATTCTTTCTTACATGCTGTGCTATATAATTTAATGTTTGTGTTGGCCAATTTAGCTAGGCCCATGGCCCGGCTCACTAAAACTCTTGAAGCTGAAGCCATTGCGGTATGTTTAATATTAATAAACTTTTTTCTAATAACCTACAACGACGACGTTCGACTACAGAATGTCGTAGCAGATTAATTTGATTGGACTTCAGCCGGGACATGGAAAAACATCGTAAATATTGCATAATATAAGCCTGAGCAACATGCAACCGAGAAGACGATAGTGACAGCAAATGCTATGTGAGGTTAAGGGGATATAACATGCTGTATTGTTTGAAAAAAGAGCGCCAAGACATAACTATGCTATTATACAATTATAATTTATATTGTTTCTTGGTTATACAAAATACTAGATTTTATAATTAAAAATATTGTAATATTAATGATAAAGAATACAATAAAGTTAATATACCCCGTAGAGTTAATGGGCCGAAAATCGAAAATGAAAATTTTTGCATTTCTCGACGTTTTCAAGGTTTCTGAACATTTTGGCATACCTCAGAAAAAATGGTTGTGTTTGTGTGTTTTGTATGTCCGCATTTTTTCGTCCACGTTTTGGAGCGCACGGATCAACCGATTTGAATGGTTCAAAAAACATTCGATTCCTATTGATAGGGAATTGTGCTGATTAGTTTTTGGCAAATGCAAATGCAGCTGTTACAGAGATACGGAGCAAAGAGTTCAGAAAATAAAAATCGAGTTTTTGAGAGAGCGGAGTATCCGATTTGAATGATCCAAAAAATATTCAATTCGTAATGATGCGGAGAGTGGTGATTAGTTTTTGGCAAAGGCAGATCCAGCCGTTTCGAAGATACAAGGCTAAATGCACAAAAAAATTCAGATTTTGGGAGAACTAAGCATCCGATTTGAATGATTCAAAAAACTTTCTGCTTGTGTTAGCAGAAGAATTGCTTTTGGATTTTTTTTTTCAAAATATTTTTTTTGTATATAGAAAATAATTCAGATTTTAATTTTAATTCTTGCTAAAGTTCTAAAGCTCACTTGTATACTTTAAATAAATAATTTTAACTTCGGCAATTCGGTTTATGTAATTCTTATAAATATTAGACAATGTTACAATATATTAATCTATTTCATCTTTGCTAAAATAAATAATATTCAATCGATATATGAGTAATGCATGAATAATAGTTCAAAAATTTCATTTTTGCAACAGTTTTAAATTGTTTTTATTTTATCTTAATCTTCACAAAAAACTTTTAAATCTATGTATTATATGTTTTTTCGACGTTACATATCATTCTGAATAGTTCGAGGCCAAAAAAGTAAGTATAACGTTACCAGATTACAAGACCAATAAAACAAAAAAAAAACGTTGAAACCAAAATTTGAACTTTTGTCGATAGTTTCTCAAAAACGGCTGGACCAATTTCAAAAATGTAAAAGCCATAAGATGTAACTCATGGTTAAATGGTTACATGGTTAACTCGAGGTCTCATGTTGGTTAATTTTGGGAGAGGATTGGCCGGTCCGTTTCTTTAATATTAGAATCAAAGTGCAAAAGTTTTCGATCACAAATCTGCAAAAAAGTCTGAAACAAATTTGTAAACTGAAAGATATCTATATATATTATATTCCGTCGTAAATGAATTTTAAAAAAATTGGCGGTTTTAATGAAACTTAATAATGCGATAAAGATCATGGTCTAATTGAAACTCCCTAAAATATTGTAGTCCTACAAAAAGTGGTTGAATTCTAAAAACTCATTAATTTTGGGGACGTATAATGAAATATGCATGCAATAAAAAGCGAAATATTAAATTGAATAATATTAATAAATCATGTTTTATGTGTCACATTTGAACGACACCAGTAGGGCCATCTATGAAAAATTATTCACACTATTGTTGTACACTAAAGGTGCGTTCACACCTAACGAACGAACACGAACGAACATGTCGAACAAGAAAATACAAAGAAGAACGAACAGGAACACGAACGAACGCAAGAAATTCCAAACGAACTTGAACAAGCGCTTAAAAGCAGTGAGCGCTTGAATTTTCGTTGTTCGTAGATGTTCCGTGAAACGTCAGTTTTATTATTGATATGGATGTAAGCTTTAATCATACGGCATTTTCACTGGTTTTTGTGTGATTTTTGTTCGTGTATATTTTGTAAATATACTGTAAATAAATTATTCAATAAATTTCACTCAGTTTTTGTATTTAATATTTATATTTTGAGTCGTTTTCTTTCCTCAGCATTCATATTCGGAGCAAGCTGAACATTCCAGGCTTGAGCTAACTATACTCAATTTTCATACTCTCATCCTCAACATATATGTTGAATGTCTATGTATGATAACAAGTTTAATATTTACTTGTAAAGACTGCAATCATACTCTTCTTTTATCTATGACTGCAATTTCTTCTTTACTGCAGCTTCTGACATCCCAAACGTTTTGCCTACACTTTCCCAAGCATCGTTTTTTTTTCTAATAATTTTATAAAAAGGGTCTTTAGTCTCCCATATTATAGGAAACTTTTCTATTTCATTTATGAATGATAAAATTACGTCATTTGACCATCCCATAATTTATTCAAAATTTTCAAACTGTACACAATAATTAAAAGTAAATATTATTAAAATTTTCAAACATTAAAATTATTAACATTATTATTAAATTATTAAAAAAATATTATTAAATTATTAAAATTATTAAAACAAAAATGTTCGTTTGCGTTCGTTGAGACGTCCACACTGCACATACGAGTTCAAACATGAACGAACAATTCCCTTTGATGTACCGACAAGTTGCGGAACATTGCTCGCCATGTTTGTTTATGTTCGTTTGTGATCGTCGTGGCTCCACACTATGCTGTTGCCGTTTGTTCTGGTACGTTCTTTTATGTTCGTTCGTGTTCGTTCGTTAGGTGTGGACGCACCTTAACAAACAGTGTTGTCATAAACGTCAAGAAGCCGGTGTTTTCATAGTTTATTGTGAAATAATTAATTAATAGAAATAGTAGATTGAAAGTTTTAAATTATTATTTGTGTATTTTGTGCCTGCCTAATAATAATTCTGAAACAAGGTGCGTTATCATACTGACAATAATAATTACTCGTTTTAACCTCATTTATATATACATATTTTTATATAAGAATAAATAATCAGCTAATTTCCATATATTAAATTTGCTGACAAAATTATATTAAAAAGAATTTTTTATATCACTGTATTCTAAGCAATTCCAAGCTTCTGTATTATAGGGCCATATGTTCCGCTTTAAAATGCTTTTGTGAATCATTTATATGTCATCTATGCAATAACTTATTTATTATAATATATAACCATAAATACAAAATACGCCCGTTTGTTTTATTAAAAAAACATCAATTAAAAAAAATAGTGGTGTATGGCATCGTGCCTTAAGGCAAATTTCTGTTACTTCCCGTGCCGTAATGAAATATTCGAGAAATATTAAATGTTTTCAAATATATTATTATAAATACGTATATATGTATACAGAATGGTAAATAAACAAAATTTAATCAATTGAATTTAAAATGATGGACATTGTTCGATATTTATAAGAATTATATTATTTGCAAAGT